CAAGCTCCATCAAGATGGAATTAAGGAACTGGGAAAAGATGATGATAGATTGTAATTGGAATAATACTTTTACAGCCCGACAATCAAGAAAGTTTATGATGCCAAATGCATCAAACACACAAAAACTCCTTTGCCTCTCAAAGAAAGACCTATGTACTTCCATAGGACTAATTACAGGGCAATGTCCTGCCAAATATCATCTAAGACTAATTAAAAAAGTTGATGATATTTGTCGGTTTTGTAACGATGAAACAGAAACCTCCGAACATTAATTGTGCAACTGTGCAGCACTTCTTAACAGAAGGGTAAAGTTCTTTGATAAGGGACTACTACAGCCCTTTGAAATATGGTGTTCATCTCCTAGTAAGGTAGTGCGTTTCATACGACACATAATTCCTTGCTGGGAATATACCTAAAGTTAGGCGTTGATGGTTATTTCTAATAGTAGTTTTTCACCCTAATAAGGTTAACAAAAAAAAAAACCGGGGAATATACTACAATAGATCAAATAAATGGGCGCAGTGGTAATGTACTCAACCTGGAAAAAAATATAAGAGTTTTCGTAGCCTATTTTTTATATGATTCTTGAGTCCTATATTGAATATAATTCCACTAACTCTAAAATAAAAAAAAAAAATAAAAAGACATCGTCTATTTCTATGCTATTGGATCGTCATATGACAAAAGCGATTCATTACATACTTTCTTGTAATTTGTGCCACTGGATGATTATTTCCAGCTCTGTACTTTAATATGGCACCGTTCGTAATTTATTGACAGTATTGTTTTGATTTTGAATCTTTATATCAACCAATAGATTTCAAAACATTCAGATTAATAAATGTTATATCATGATAACAAAATAATTACTAATTAAAAATTATTAACGAAATTACTAATATCAAAACGCATACATGGATTTGTTATCAAGAAAAGATGATTTGTTATCTTTTTAATATCCTTCATATATCATTAAGATCTCACTTTTGTTATGATTGCTGGTAACTCGACCACACGGTAGGCAAAATATGCTATCACGAACGCTTACATCAAAATATCAAATTTAGTTTTCGTTTTGTTTTCATTCTCTGCTCGGACAGCCAGCCAACAGTGAGTCAAGCTTGAAACGAAACAAATTGAGATTAGTCGATACTGTGCGTGTGACGGTGGTAAACAAGCAAAAGATGGTGAAAACTGCTTTGATCTAGTTGGTAAAATCACACTATTTGCTGATAATGAGTTTGCATGTGCAAATTTGTTTTCGAATACGTGTTCGAATCGAGACTGCTGAAGATTATGTAAATTTGTATGAGGTGAAATGGATCATTCAAATTGAGTGTGTGTATGTGATGAATGAGAGCAATTTGTACTCTCGTATGCAGAGGACAAGGTGGTTGGTGTCTGTTTGCACTTGAACTGATGTTGAGAAAAAAAAATCATTGTTTATGAGGTTTGAAGAACCGTTATGATTACCAGTAGACCACACAAACAGAAAGGGAAAACTAATTTACATATGCTTTGCACGTTGCACTTGGTATAGGGGTAATTTTACGTATGCAACGCTTTTAAAATCATGTAAGCATGATCAGAAATAGATTTCATCGTGTTATTATTTATCTCACAATGGTGTGCGAAAAAGAAAAGTCGTGGAACTTTCAATCATTCAAATTCATACTGCTGCTGCTCATGAACGGCTTCAACGAGTATAGCATTTATTTCAAAGCACGTAGTACATAAAACGGCCATTTTCAAGAAACTTTACTGGACAACAGTATCTAATGGTGGAATGGAACTGGTGAGTCATTTTTTTTGGAATTCATTGACAGATATAAAGGAAAACTGCAATTTGAGGTTAATGGTAACTGTTTTACGAATGAATTGACATCTACGATCAAAGTTGGCGTGGAGAATTACATTTTTTACTTAAAATTATCGACACCAATATTAAAATTGTCAGATTTTGCTAATACGAGTGCACTTTCTATGGCATCACTGGCAACCCTAATAAAATTTTAAGTTTTATGAATTACTACAAAGCAACTATAAAACAACATTCATAAAACCTTGGTCAAGGCTATTTTGTCATTAATGCATCCACCAAAACCTCATTAAGACTAGAAGATGTCTAGTTGGCCTACCCTGGAGAAGGTTCTGAAGGGGGTATTCTCGAAGCTCTTCAAGATTGATTTACTGCAAAAGGTTGTATGACGAACGCATTGAGAATCATTTGAAAGCTACAATAATACCTATTTAGCAACAATAAAAAGCCTTTCCAAGCCATTTCCCCTAGCCGATTGCAAAATTCACTAGGAAAGCATCAATCAAGATAGAAAAGGATTTATGAATCCGATATGATCAAAATAACTAAAATAGAACTATTGTAACAAATGTATTAAATTTATTATAATAGTTCTCTTTTAATGCCTTATTAAATATTATGTAAAATGCACGTGAAAACATCGAAAAAAATAAGTCCGCCCTTACTAAAACTTCGATTTGACTAATTATTTTACATTTAAAAAAAATTCTTCAAATCGAGTATGGCCGAGATTTTTTTTTATGATTTTCGCATTTAAATGTTTGCTAATTGCTAAATTTTTCAAAATATAGTTATATCGAAGGAAATATAGATTGAAAATCGAAGAATGTAAAAAACAACCAAATTGTAACATGGTGGTGGCATAAAATTTCATTTGCATGGGTTATTCGTTAAAAAGTTGTTTTACTTGCAAGAAATCCTTAACAAATTCATAAGGTTTTAAAATGGCTTTTATTAAGAAAACTTGCAGGCTGAATTGTATTTATTTAAAGTCATTTGGCTTGATCCGAACCCGTTCAGATTTATGGCAGCATTTATGGAGGCAAAGTTGGTAGTAGTTAAACGTCAAAGTTTGTTTATCTTTCGATAGTTGCGCTGTGCGATCCATATTTCAGGCGGTTTTCTCCCGATGGATTGTGAGCAATTACTCAGATAGTTTGCGATACTGTTTTACAACATTTCGCATTTCGAACAGCTGGAAGCGCATCTCCGCTAACTAACAGTTTCAGTGGTTTGCTGTCGGTTTTCATCTAATCGCAAGATCTGGAGAAGGCTGGTATGTTTTTAAATTTCCCACGCTCACTTTACTCTTCTCCGTCAGATGGTCAGTCGTTGATGGTGTGCTAGTTCTTCTAAATAAGTAAAATTAGCTGAAATCGATTTGATTTTTTTTTATCCTACTTCGTCTTGCCTTCGAGATTTCCTTGTCATAAATTTGGCTTTTATTAACTATGAGGAACCATCTTTTAAGCTCAATTTGTAAACAGAGTAATTGTGGGAGCTTAGGATGCACTTTAAAAAGCCCAAAAAGCAACAATAAATGCTGTTTGCTTAATGCAAAACCTAATGGTTTTATGATTGCTTTTATAATGATAGAACACGTTTATAAAGTATTATATCAAAACATTAATAAACAATGGCTAATGACGTTTATGCTTGAATTATAGAACAATTTTAAGAAGGGATTGAGAACTGTTTTAAATTTATTTTTAAAACAAGACAGTTTTTGACTTTCTTGCCAGACTATAAAAGGTTTTAAAAACAGCAAAAAGCTGAATTACTAAGCAGGAATGTTTTAAACTTTGAAATGCTGTATTTAAACTAAATGGATTGTTCATTGCCTTTATAAAACCATTATAAATCAGAGTGGATGCCAAATAGCTACTGAATTGTTACTTGGGTAGCGACGATCCTCTCAGAAATAGTTGCAGAAACTTGATAACTAAATTGCGTGACACTTGTTTGTTTATCTACTACAAAGTCAACTCTCTCCAACTCGATATGCAAGGAACCATCGGCCTAGGGTGGTTTCAAGTTACAGAATTTCTGAACAAAAAATCAGATGTTTTAAATTACTTAACATAACACAATCCGTATAATATTAAAAAATTGTAATCGGAACCTGAGCTCATAGTCAGCCATGATTGAGTTAATTAGGGAGTCTTCAATTATTATAGCCTCCGAAATTATTACAATTATGACAATTGCTACAAATATTTCCGAACTTTCTTAATCCGATAAAAATATCAATTAGACCTACTAATCCGTAGCCCTGAACATTTTAATAAAACCACGTGTGGATGTACCTAACAATTTAACCGGAACTTAAATAGATCCAAACGTTAAAATCCTTCCTTTCTATCATTAGAACAATTACGCAAGCGTTCAACTGAAGGTCGATTAAAATATAACTCGCCGTGTGTCTGTTTAGCAAAAAATAAAAAAAGAAGTGGTATAGGCAAAAGTGAAAGGACAGTTCCATTCCGCTCCCCAGAGGCCGTACCGTTTTTCGTGTGTGGCACGGGTCAAGGTTGGGCAGATATTTACTTTTTTTCTAGCCGCTATCGATAACCCTGCCCCTTCGGACACGTAGACGTAACGGATACGCACCCAACCAACGCACCTTTTATTTTCGACTTTGATTCGTGATTTTGTGAGATACATATCTATCATTCCCATTCCGGTCCATTTGATCTACATACTCAAACCTCTTGGAAACCGGTTTGTTAATTTAATAGTAATTTATTCCACACCACCTTTAGACTTTTTTCTCTGCAACTTGGTGATACGTCAACAGTAGAAATATGGCGAAAGGAAACCTCTAGGTTCTCCGTTTGAGCAGCGAAATCAATTCAGACCTGCAATTTGATGGTGGTTCGTGTGTGTAATATATATGCGGTTATTATCGACTGTTATAGTAAGCATGGGGAGCAATTTCCACCTATAATGATCAAAGACGCTGAGGTCATGCTTAACGAGATTGAGTAGAAATAGGTTTACTCAATAAAGGAGAAGCTGGTGAGACAATTTCCGCCTGTTTCTAAATTATAAAGAACCGGGCTGCAAATTGGAGGAACCCATTACGTGAGCAGCCTCAGTGTCAACATTAATGAAGATTGATTGTACAATTGAATAATTTCGGCTTGTTTTAAAATGAATTTATTAAAACAAATCGACTTACCTTCCGCCATAGATGTCCTGAGTTAGTGGGGTGCTCTCATCGTCTGTGAAGTTGTCATCGCTCTCGTTCTGTGGTGCCAGAGGTCGATGTCTGATAGCAGACATCCTCTCGGCGGATGCCTCTGCAAAGATAAACAGAACCACGCATCAGTAAGGGTGTATTGCCGTGGAAAATTACAATCCTCCTAAGGGAACATTCAATAATTACGTAAGCAGATTTTTGATTTTTCGTGCTCCCTCCTTCCCTTGCAAGACAACGTAAGCATATTTCTAACACCTCCTTCTCCCTAAATGCTTACGTAATTATTGAATTTCCCTAAGAAGTGGCGGAAGTGTCAGAAGAACAACATTATCAAGATCGGCGTCTTCAGCTGGTGGATGGTGGAACTAAGACGTACATATAGGATCAAAATATGGTTTGACTAGTGAAATTTAAATGCGGTTTGCTGTCCGGTGTCTTGTTCTGGTCAATCAAGTTTTGGTGGGTAGTATAATGGCTTCAAAAGGTAAAGATGGGTGCTTTAGTTAAAGATTTTATTTTCGGGCAACCAACTCCCAACTCATAACCCAAAAAAGGTAAAGCATGATGTAGGGACATGTTTTTTTCCCTTGATTTGTTTTCCGTCGATCTTGTTTTCCGTGCTGAGTACCAATGCTTCCGACGCCAGGGAGGCAGCTCCCATACCTGGACCCTACATATCGACCCAACAACTAATGGACCGGGGACCAACGTGATCACAGATTTTATGCCTCAGAAAAGCCCGACGGCACCGACTAGGATTGAACCCAGGCCTGTTTGGGTGAGAGACAATCACGCTTACCACTATACAACCGGCGCCGCATGTTACACATGGTTCGCACAAATACCTTAAAGTTTGGATGAAGACAGAAGAAGTACACCAGAAAGGTGGACATAGAGGGCAATGTCCATAATTTTTATCACCAAAGGAGGACAATTTTTCTTTAATAATTGTTTTGAAACAGTGCGCTATCACGGGAAAAAAACCGTTTCGAAATTCGTGAACCTCAAAACCACAAATTGCGAAACAAGTCAATTTTTCGTTTACGATAGAACAACATGAATAAAAATCATGAAATCGTGAACAATGACAAAACAAACGTAACGCCTGTGTTATGATCTACTGAGCACCAACAAAGGCAACAAAAGTCATAGAATCATGAACTCTGCTCTGAAAATCATGATCTAGTTCTGGTAAACGTGATTTATGTTAATGAGCTGTTCTTGAAATCGTTAACCAGTTATCGAAAACGGCAACATATTTCATGGATTGTAAAATGACAACTTTCAAATAGTTTTCAATATTTTAAATGGAGTGAGAAAGTGGAAGGAAAACAACCGAAGACTTGAGCGCAAGTTTTAACCCACACCCAAACTGGCAGCAGGCATCTGTCCAGCAGATGGAATGGATACCCTTTCAGCTCAACTAATCAACGGATCTCGGGTTATCATGAAAGCAGCTTATATCACCTTCGACTTGCTCCGATGAAAGTGATGGCGATGGCGGGCGCAATAACACCAGATGCGTTCGGGGATTCTTTTCTTCGAGGTTTACTACCGTCCCAGCCACTAGCATTGTGTCGGAACACCATTCTGATGATACGGCTTAGCTGCATTCACTAATAAACTACACACCATAGGGAGCTGCAGCGCCGAGTTAACCTCACTTTTTTGACATCGAAACCATGGCCCACTCAGTAATGCAACAAACCCTTTTGTTTATTACAGCGCTCCTAGTGAACGTTTTCGAAAGCTTTTGACGTCTATTTGTGGACAACAACAATAATAGTGTACTTTTTCAGTTCATAGAGCTTTTTGACGTTTCATCGGCGCACACTGATGCACCATTGAAATTGAAGGAGTGCGAGACAGAGTGGGAAACAGATTAGTTGGAAAACAAACCATCCATGCATCCCTGCGTGCTAGATAGAGAAAGACGCTTAAAGACAGTCATAATGCAAGTGGAGCGTAGACAAAAAATAGTGCACAATGCAAATGAGAACGACCCAAATTTGAGTTTAGGTCACTCATAAATGACATATGTAAAGTGCAGGAACTCAGCAATGAGTAAATTTACCTCATGTTTCTCCAGGTTTTCCATGTTTTTCCAGGAAAACCTTTCCAAATATGAGAAAAGTAAAGAATGGATTGACTGCTACTCCTAGACTCAATTTCCTTCATTTTCCAGTAGATTTTTAAGTTTTTCCACAGGAAGCCATGAAGCAAATTGATTCATCGCTGCACTTTTGGCGATAATGAGTGAACTAAACTCAAATTTGGGTCGTTCTCATTCGCCGTGCACAGTCACCTGGAAAATCCATCGTGGTCCGCGGACAAGTTGGCTAAAGTTTTCCTAGAAACAAACGTACAAGAAAACCTTGACGATGAATCGGAAGCCTCAAAGTAAACGCCGGAGTGGAACAGCCAACCGTCAGCTCCATGGAAAGGTCATGAGGTCCATCAGAAGCAACCCAGGTATGCCGATCGCGACATGGTTTACACGTTCAATTCGCGTTCAAGTCAGTTAAATTCAACTGACTTGATCAATTGACTTACCCTGTCTAAACCCAGCTTAACACCCGTGCAGTCCAACTGCGCTCACCCAGGTATGAAATCTCTCTCTCCTTTGTCTCATTCTGCTACCAAAGATAAGAGACACGCTCCCGTATTTGAGAGCAGCACAACTATGTTTTGCACCACTCTGAGTTTCTAGCCCATCCCTGGTTTTGGCCCTGGAGCTGGAACTGGAAACCACACAAGGTGCACCCGGAACATGTCCAATATGGTCATGGGCGCTTGAGATTACCACCATTGCAACCACCAGAAACATATCCAGATGCGGCCAATTTCATCCTGGACCAAGAAATCGAAAAGATCTCCAAATGACAAAATGACAAGCGATCAACGATAACGGCGCCGGTGGTGTAGTGGTAAGCGTGATTACCAAATGACAAAATGACAAGCGATCAACGATAACGGCGCCGGTGGTGTAGTGGTAAGCGTGATTACCCCAGCAGGCCTGGGTTCAATCCCAGTCGGCGCCGCCGGGATGTTCTGAGGCATAACATCTCTGATCACGGCTTCCTTCGGATGGGAAGTAAAACCGTTGGTCCCCGGTTCATGAGTTGATGGGTCGATAGGTAGGGTCCAGGTGTGGGAGCTGCCTTCCTGGCACGTCGGTAGCATTGGTGCTCAGCACGGAAAACAAGATCGACGGAAAAAACAAACCAAAGGAAAAAAAAATGCGATCAACGATCTGAATGATAATACTATTTCAGAAGTGAAAAGCAATCATTATACAATCTTCTTCCTTTTTTCCATGACAAGCAGCCCATGCGATACAGCTCACTCAGGGCGGTAGAAAGAAGCAAGCAAATTGTTGTCAAGCTGTTTCACGAAGTAAAGCCGAAGATGATACACGTGTGTTAATGGGACTTTTCTTGTTATGTCTTTTCTCGAGTCAGATCAAGCTATGTCCTCATCGGTGTATATTGCAACAAAGCAGGCAAGCAATATATCATTATCCTTCAACCACTCCGATCGAGTTTGTATGGTAGTCGTAGCAACTGTTTTGTCTGTATCGTTGGTTGCTTTATAAGTTTGGATTCGCTGTCCTGGACGCTCAAAATGATAACCTAATGATAATGATTCTTATGGTTGTGTTCTCGTGTTATTTGTGATGTCACATGATGGGTTTAACATAATACAGGCTGACTCACGGGGGCCTCCCTTAGCTCAGTCGGTAAAGGCGCAGCTACAATGCAAGACCATGCTGGAGGTGGCTGGGATCGATTCCCGGTCCGGTCTGGGAATTTTTCGGGTTGGAAAATTTCTCGACTTCCTTGGGAATAGAGTATAATTGTACTTGCAACACAATTATACCAATGCAAAAATGGTACAGGCATCGAAAGCTCTCAATTAAAACTGTGGAAGTGCATCTAGAACAATAAGTAGAGAGCACGCAATAAGCTAATATGCGATATGCAATAAGCTTGAAATGCGACGAAGAAGAAGAGGCTTACTCAACACCCACATTTACAAAAAAAAAAAAAAAACAGTGTTCTATGGGATCACAAAACCTTCCATTTGGCGATTGTTGTTCATGAACTAGGTTTTGAATTCTCGTTTAATTTGAAGGGTCACATGATAGAGTTTGGTCGAAGTAAAAAACTGTAAACCTCCCCAGGTACGCGGAACATTTCCGGATGTGGCCAATGTGGTCCTGGGGACTTAATATGACTAACATTTAAGTTTGTTTTGAGCAGTGTTTCTTATCCGGGACGATAATCATATTTCCTGGGAAATTAGTTTGACCTCCCGGGCAACAGTTTTGTTTTTGCACAGAAACCATGCTAATCATAAATGTTTACTAAAAACTTATTGATTTGATTAACTTTGGAAAACTCGGAAGAACCTTTCCAGAGGAGGCAGAAGGCAGAAACTTCCGGGAATCGTTGGAGTAAACTGCCGGGAAGTTTTGTTGTCATTATTAAAAAGGCTTTCAGCCTTGGTCTGGTTTACCTCAACTACCGGGAAAAGTCGGGGAACTCTGAAAAAATAAAAACTTTTGGTGAAGTAGGAAGAAACTTCGAGGTGAAGTCAGGAGAGCTATCTAACGTTTTAAAGGTTTTCGTCACTGAGAAAATGATGAACTCGGTGGTTTACAAAACCGAATGTCTCCAGACGCGAATTCTGCCCTTCATCCAGTCACATGATGGTCCGGTGACATTTTCATAATTCCGAAAAACGAACTTCTAATCGGAAGATATCTAAACTTCTAGTCTGAAGCTCTCTGAACTTCTCCTCGGAAATTATCTAAAAATCTCTTTGGAAGTTTTTGACAAAAGTCTCTGAACTTATCCTCGGAAGTTCTTTGATGGTCTTGTTGGAAGTTCTCTGAACCTATCCTCACAAGTGCTCTGAACTTTTTGTCGTAAATTTTCCAAACTTCTCGTCGGAAGTTCTTTGAATTTTTCGTCGGAAAATTTCTGGACCTATGCTCAGAAGTTCTCAGAACATCTCGTCGGTCTCTGAAGTTCTTGTCGGATGTTCTATGAATTTATAGTGGGATTTTTTATTTTTTTTCCTTTGGTTTGTTTTTTC